CTACCCAGCCCTCGTGGACTGCATGACAAGGAGTACCTGGAGGTCCGGGAGTGCAGCCGGATGCTGTTGTCCAGGAGACACCAATTGCTCCTTGAGTTCAACTTCTGGAATGAGCCACAGCCCAGAGTGGGCTCCAACATCTTATGAGCTGAGGACCTGCAAACTCAAGCCAGGAACCATGATGGAGTAGGGGAACAACCGGGCTCCTGCCAGCAGGTACCAGCAGCAAGTCCCAGCAGGAGAACCAGGAGGTGATGGTGGCTTCTCCCATATAGGAGAGCTCCACCTTGTGCATCATCTCTGGGCCGATAAAGACCCACAGTCTTGGCAGGAGACCCACAGTGCTGCCTGCAGGAAGAGGGGCTGGGATGAAATGTCTATTATACAGTTCTCCTGGTGCAACACATGGAGTCTTGGATCATGGTCCTCTTGAAGACCTCGCCTCTCCAGCCATGCTGCCAACACTTCTACCTTCTTCCCGTTCTCCCTCAGGGCAACCCTGGACAGAGGAGCACCCCAGTCCTGCTGTCATGGTTTTCTTTTGGCTCTGGGAGGAGTCTGAGGATCTGTGCTTAGCTCAGACAATGGGGAACAGAAGGATGACAAATTCTGAGGACTTACAGCTCAGCTCAGCTCCTTCCTGCCTTCCCCTCCTCCCTCATTCCCCCTGCTGGAAGCAGTTCCTAATTTCTCTGAATGAAGCATAACAATCTTCTAGGCCTGCTTACATCTTTTCCTGAGATTTCTCAGTCCCCAGCTATCACCACAGAAACCCTCAGTTTAGCTTAATTGCACAAAAGGAAGTATGTCTAGTGGTTAGAGGTGGAATGGGAGGGAAGGAGATCAGGCCAGGCCAGGCCAGGTCCTCAGGAATTTCCTGATTTCCGCTAGGCCACTGCCACCCACTTGCTGTTCAGTCTAAGCCAAGTGCCTCCTGATGGGGAAAATCCTGGAACAGCTAAAAAAATCCCCCTCAAATCAGCAAGGTAAGGAAGATGCCCAGACATTCCACCCAAAAAGACAGGGAAAAAGGATGGGAACCAGGAAGGATTTAGGGGCAGGAGACAGACATGTAACAGAACCCAGAAGGCACAACTTAGAATTCAGAACTTGGGTTTGAACTGCAGAATTTGGAATTTGAAATACAGAATTGGAAGATAGAACAGAGATGACAGGCTGGGCACAGTGGCTTACGCCTGTAATCCCAGCAATTTGGGAGGCTGAGGTGGGCGGATCACAAGGTCAGGAGTTTGAGACCAGCCTGGCCAACATGGTGAAACTCCGTCTCCACTAAAAACACAAAAATTAGCCGGGCGTGGTGGTGCATGCCTGTAATCGCAGCTACTCAGGAGGCTGAGGCAGGAGAATCACTTGAACCTGGGAGGCGGAGGTTGCAGTGAACCGAGATTGTGCCACTGCACTCCAGCCTGGGCAACATAGAGAGACTCTGTCTCAAAAAAACCAAAAAAACCAAAAAAACAAAAAACAAAAGTGACAGAAAACCATTTGGGGAAGGATTCCTAATACTAGACAGATGGAGAGTTACTTGTCTGCTTTTCCCTACAGGTTGGGGTTGAGGACATGACTATGTAGTTCCAGTCCTTTGCAGGGAGTCTCTCCTGCCCTCCCTCCTTCCTGCAGGCAAAAGTATAGACCAGGGCGTGTGTTTCCTTCATCCCGATTCCTTCTCCACTACTTGACATTCCGTCAGCTCAGTCCTCATCCTCTAGGGCCACCAAGCGTGTGGACTGGGGGGTCTCCTCAGTGAAAATCATATTTACGAACCCTTGGGATAGCTTGATTCTGCTCCTCTTCCAGGAAAGCTTATGCTGGAGTTGCTGATGGAACCAACTAAACATTTACTATAAAAACAAAACAAACAGAAAACAAGCACAGCATGTACTTTTGTCAAGATATGCCACACTCTGGCGTTTCAAACAAGACACAATAAATTTAAAGGGATTTGGTTCATGCCAAACGGACCCCAGTGGATTAAATTTGACCCCAGTGAATTAAATGGTAAATCAATGACAAGAAGCTCTCTGAAAAAAATCCTCAAATATTTAGGAACTAAATAGCATACGCTGCTGGTGGGACGTCAAATGGTACAAATACTTTGGAAAATAATTTGGCAATTTATTAATTCAACTCCTAGATATTTATCCAAGCAAAATGAAAGCATACATCTATACAAAGACTTGCACATAAATGTTCCTAGCAGCTTTATTGGTAATAGCAAAAAAAACAAAAACAAAAACAAAAACAAAACACCTGGTAATAGTCCAAATGCCCGTCAACAGATGAACGGATACACACTGTGGTACATCCGTGTAATGGAACACTACTCAATAATAAAAAGGAATGAACTATTGCTACAAGCAACAACAGGGATCAGTCTCACGCTGAGTAAAAGGAGACAGACAAGAAAAACGCAAATACTTTAACATCCGTTCATAAAAAATTATAAGAAACAAAAGCTACTTGATAATGACAGAAAGTGGACCCTGTAGTTGTCTGAAGAGAGGGGTGTCAGGGAGTGGCTGGAGGGAGAAATTATAAAGAGGCATGAGAAAACTTTTGGGATTGATGAATTTGTTGACATGTTGATTGTGGTGACAGTCTCCTGGGTGTGTACCGTACATACATATGTCAAATTATATATACCTTAAGTCTGTGTGATTTACCGTATGTCAATTGTGCCTCTAAAAACTGTCTAAAAATGTGATAGTTCTGCTGGGCACGGTGACTCACAGCTGTAATCCCTGCACTTTGGGAGGCCGAGGCGGGCGGATCATGAGGTCAGGAGATTCAGATCAGCCTGGCTAACACGGTGAAACCCCGTCTCTACTAAAAATACAAAAAATTCACCGGGCGAGGTGGCGGGCGCCTGTAGTTCCAGCTACTCGGGCGGCTGAGGCAGGGGAATGGCATGAACCCGGGAGGCGGAGCTTGCAGTGAGCTGAGGTCGTGCCACTCTACTCCAGCCCGGCAGACAGAGCAAGACTCTGTCGCAAAAAAAATAAAAAAATAAAAAAATAAATAAAATAAAATAAAATAAAATAAAAAATGTGATGGATTTTTTTATTGTGGTAAAATATATAAAACATAAAATTTACCATTTTAATCATTTTTGTTTAATTTTTAACTTTTATGGGTACATATATATATGTGTGTATATATATATATATTTTTTTTTTTGAGAGAGTCTCACTCTGTTGCTTAGGCTGGAGTTCAGTGGCACAGTCCTGGCTCACTACAACCTCTGCCTCCCAGGTTCAAGCAGTTCTCCTGCCTCAGCCTCCCAAGTAGCTGGGATTACAAGCTGGCTAAATTAGCTATTACACCTGGCTAGTTTTTGTATTTTTCCTAGAGCCAGGGTTTCACCATGTTGGCCAGGCTGGTCTTGAACTCCTGGCCTTAAGCAATCCACCCGCCTGGGCCTCCCAAAGTGTTGGGATTACAGGCGTGAGCCACCGCGCCTGGCCTACCTTGTATATTTACGGGCTACATGAAATACTTTGATATGGGCATACAATGCGTAATAATTACATCAGGATAAATAAGGGTACCCATTATCTCAAGCATTTATCATTTGTGTGTGTGTGTGTATGTGTTAAAGATCCATTTTAACCATTTTAAAGGATATAATTCAGTAGCATTAGCAGATTTATACAGTTGTGCAACTATCACCACCTTCCATCTCCAGGATTTTTTACCTTCCCAAACTGAAACCTGGTCTGACAAAGGCTTTTGTCCTAAATAGTAATATAAAGAGTTGGAATAGGCCAGGAGCGGAGGCTCACACCTGTAATCCCAGCACTTTAGGAGGTTGAGGTGGGTGGATCACAAGGTCAGAAGTTCAAGACCAGCCTGGCCAACATAGTGAAACCCCATCTATACTAAAAATACAAAAATTGGCCTGGCATGGTGGCATGTGCCTGTAGTCCCAGCTACTCAGGAGGCTGAGCCAGGAGAATTGCTTGAACCCGGGAGGTGGAGGTTGTGGTGAGCCGAGATCTTGCAGTGAGCCGAGATTACGCCACTGGACTCCAGCTTGGGTGACAGAGCGAGACGCGGTCTCAAAAAAAAAAAAAAGTTGGAATAGAAGAACTCTGGGACATATGGTTTAGATACTAAAAAAAAAACATTTCCAGGCCGGGCGCGGTGTCTCAAGCCTGTAATCCCAGCACTTTGGGAGGCCGAGACGGGCGGATCACGAGGTCAGGAGATCAAGACCATCCTGGCTAACCCGGTGAAACCCCGTCTCTACTAAAAAATAAAAAAATCTAGCTGGGCGAGGTGGCGGGCGCCTGTAGTCCCAGCTACTCGGGAGGCTGAGGCAGGAGAATGGCGTAAACCCGGGAGGCGGAGCTTGCAGTGAGCTGAGATCCGGCCACTGCACTCCAGCCTGGGCGACAGAGCGAGACTCCGCCTCAAAAAAAAAAACAAAAAACAAAAACAAAACAAACAAAAACATTTCCAGGACATTTTAAAGGTATTTGGAATCAGGGCTGTTGCTCCTGGAGGAGTAGTTTCCCAGGGAGACTGGGACACAGAAAAGAAGGGAGTTGGACTCCCGTCTACTGGGTACTCAGCTCAAAGCTCACACCCCCGAGGAAGACTGTATGACATTTACATGTTACTCTCCTCAAACAGGGTTTCTGTGCCTCCTGGAAATGTAGGTAAGCTTGGTTCAACCCTCCCAAGTTAAAGCCTGTGAAAGCTCAGGGTCTTCCTCATGACCCTGGAGAATTCCTGATGGCCTAATTCTTCAGTCTGTTCTCGTCAGCATTGGAGGGTGCAGCCTCCTGCTATCTTGGGTAAAAACCCAGTCTGCAGTGGCTCCACTAAGGTTGCTCCCAACAGATGATTTATAGGTGTGGGTGACTTGCTCAAGATTTGAGGGGTCTCGCCAGGCTCCCCAGAATCTTCATCCATTTCACTGTTCTTCTCTTCTTCCTCTCTCTTTTCCTCTCTCTCTTCCTCTCTTTTTCAGGATCAACAGCCCTCTTTCCAGCATCTGAAGCTCATATGAGCTTACTGTGTGGACCCACTCAGAACCCCAGAGTTGGAATAAAGATTATTTTAAACTGAAGATATTTGAGGTTCAACAGATGCAGAGAAAAGCCTCCTCAGAGCTTCCCTTGTCTGACTAAAAGCAGCAACTTCTGGTAAATGAAGCTACTATAGATCCCTTCTCTGGGGGAGTTTCATGGCCCTGAGGAAGATGGAAAGAACACCTCTATTTGTATGGAAAAACATCATCACACACCTAAAAAAATGTCCTGTTATCCTGAAAAAAAATGTATATCCTAAAGAAGCCCATTTGTGCTTCCCATAGGAGCCTTTTCTCCCTCCTCCCTTTCCCCCACTAAGTTAGGTATTTAAGCCCCAAGTTCTAATCACAATTTTGAGTTACTCATCACTGAACACTCAGGCTTGCATAAACTCTTCTCTTGCTAATGTGTCTTTTGTCAACTTAATTTACAGAACCCCAATCACAGAACCTAAAAGTATAGAGGAAAAGTTTACCTCCCCTCCATTATTGATCTTCTGCCTCCATCTGTAGAGTCTCAGCTTCTAACCCAGGTAAGATGATCTGGGAATCGTCCCCACAAAGGCATGTTTCCTAAGCCTACTGGTAATTATGAGAGAAGAAATATTTTCCTTCTAGCTGCACAGGTATGAAACGGATGGGTTGGGATAAACCCACATTACTCAAAGAAATATTTGCATTTTTAGGCCAACCACTATCCACAGAATCTCCGGGCTTAAGAAAAACTATTCCTTAGGGAGAGCACAAGGAGGAAATTGCAAAGCGTTTGTCAAAATATTTGGCCACCAAAAAATTCCTGCTTGCTTCACAGAGACAGATGTGTGAATGCCACAGCACTCTCTGCTCTGTGTTTTATGATCCTCCCCACAATAACAGACTCTGTTGGATTTGCGCTGGTGATTTGAGAATAAGAAACTTTAAAAACAACGAGACAACCAGTTCAGGAGAGCAGATAATGTATATGCAGCAGCCTCCCCCTCCTGCCCTCACTGCTGAGAAGTGACAGAAATAATTATTGTAACAAGTTCTCATTACCATGCTGGGAAGGAAGGAGAGAGGCAGTTGATGGACAGTAATTATGAGAAACTCCTTAGATGGAGCAAGGAAAACTGCAGTCAAAAATCATCTGTAGGAGAGGAAGAATGCAAAAGACAGGCAAGGGGGCAAAGGCATGGCAGGCCTGGAGATTGTCATTCCAGGATGAGATGGGACCCTGATGCTCCTGAAGGAGCAATAGATGGGAGATGCTGCTCCTTTATCAGGTAGAAAACAATGAAGTGTCTTGTTTTAAGAGGTAGCAAGGTCGGGCGCAGTGGCTCACGCCTGTAATCCTAGCACTTTGGGAAGCTGAGGTGGGCCGATCACAAGGTCAGGAGCTGAGATCGAGGCGCGCCACTACACTCTAGCCTGGGCGACAGAGCAAGGCTCTGTCTCAAAAAAAAAAGAAAAAAAGAAAAAAAAAAGAGGGAGCAGTAGGTGTGGTTTTCCGGGTCAGAGAGGCAGGCTAGGATCTGGGGTGGCTGACAACTCCCAGCAAAACCAGACAGCCCATGTGCCCAGAAGGTTAGTTAATGCCCCTCTCTCCTACATGTCTCACATCTCTGCCATAATCAAGAGAGAGGCTGAGGTAGGTGTCTGCCTGGGTAGCACATTCGACCCCTTCCTATATTCAGGCTGGTGTACATCAGTGTAACTTCTCCAGCCTGGTGCACAGAGACTTTTACAAACAAAGATGAGCTTACAAACAATGATGAGCATACACCCAGAAGCCAACAACACTTGAGGGAAGCCAGCAACATGAAAGGGACATCAAAGTCAACACATGAACTTACGTCTGAGGACAAAATTAAAAACGCAAGTGGAGCAGGGCCTTGGGTACGTTTAATTATTATCCCTGGAAAGAGATGAGAAGGCGATACTATGCAGCCGTAAAAAAGAATGAGTTCATGTTCTTTGCAGGGACATGGATAAAGCTGGAAGCCATAATTCTCAGCAAACTAACAGAGGAACAGAAAACCAAATACCGCATGTTCTCACTCATAAGTGGGAGTTGAACAACGAGAACACATGGACACAGGGAGGGAAATATCACACACCAGGGCCTGTTGGTGGGTGGGGGGGCAAGGGGAGGGAGAGCATCAGGTCAAATTCCTAGTGCAGGCAGGGCTTAAAGCCTAGATGATGGATTGAGAGGTGCGGCAAACCACCATGGCACATGTATACCTATGTAACAAACCTACACGTTCTGCACATGTATCCCAGAACTTAAAGTAAAAGAAAAAAAAAAAAAAAGAACGAGATGAGAAGAGATTGCCCTAAGAATCAGTCTGCAATCCCCATGTTCATATCAGCATTATCCTCAATAGCAAAAAGGCAGAAGCAGCCCAAGTGTCCATTGATGGATGAGTGGATAAATAAAATGCCACATTCATCCAGGAGAATGTTACAGAAGAATGTTCAGCCTTAAAAGGGAAGAAAATCCTATCACATGGAGGAACTTGAAGAAGACATTATGCTATGTGAAATACATCAGTCACAAAAGGACACATACTCTATACTTCTATTTATGTAAGTGACCTAGAGTGGTCAAATTGATAGAAAGTTGAAAGGTGATTTCTAGAGCCTAGGCAGAGGGGAAAACGGGGAGTTGGTGTTTAATGAAACAGATTCAGTTTGAAAGGATGAAAAAGTTATGGAGATGGATGGTGATGAGGGTTGCAACCATGTGAACAAACTTAATGCCACTGAACTGTACTCTTAAAATAATTAAGGTGGTAATTTTGTGTTATGTGTGCTTTTTTAAAATTATGTGTGCATAATTAAAATAAAGAATCAACTTGATATCTTGGAAATAAAAAAAAAATCACGATTGAAGCTGAAAAAATAGAAAGTTGAGCAGATTGGCCTCAGCTGAAGTGTAAATTAGTAACCTAGAAGACTGAACTGAAAACTTTAGAATACAACACTGAACCAACCAAGAGAAGCATAGGGAAAAAAGACTGATGCACGCAGCATAAATTAAGAATTTCTAACATTCCTATAATAAAAACGTCAGAAGAATTCTGAAGGATTATTAGTATTACTTAGGATAGTAGGATGCAAAAAGTGGTGGCTTAACAAGATACAGATGACTTATCTACCAAAGAAAAGTACAGAGGAGAGGAGAGCTGGCGTGTGACTCCACAAGCATCATTGAAGACCCTGATTCCTGTGTTCCTGCTTTGCCAGCGCAGCACATGGGCTCTTCAAGCTCACCTAATGGCTAAAAACAGCTGCCGGAGCTCCAGCCACTCTATTTGTGTTGCAGGCAGGGAAAAAGAGAAAAGCCAGACCTGCCCAGTTAACTCAGACCTCTTTAAGCAGGCTTCCCAGAATTCTACAAAACGCCTTTGCTTAGATCTCATTGTCTAGAATTAAAACACATGGCCACAGTTAGCTTCAAAGTAGATATTCTTCATGATGATATGTCTTGTTAAAATCAGTATTCTGTTTCTAAGAAGGAAGGAGAGAATGGCTATTGGGGAAGCCAGTAGTAGTAACTAGCCACCCCACCCCACCCCAAATAGAGAGAACGAAGAGTGGACAAATTCAAAATAAGGATAGAAGGAAAAAAAAATCCCAGAATAGAAGAAAAATATGAGTCCTCAGACTGAAAAGGTCCACTGAGTACTAAAATGGGATGAATGTAAGAAGACCATTGGACACATTGTAGTGAAATTTCACAACACCAAGGATCAAGAAAAATCATAAAGGCTTCCAAAGAGTAAGAAACAACCAACAATTCTCTATTAAAAAAAGAGAATGGGCTGGGTGCAGCGGCTCATGCCTGTAATCCCAGTACTTTGGGAGGCCGAGGTGGGTGGATCACTTGAGGAGTCAGAAGTTCAAGACCAGCCTGGCCAACATGGTGAAACCCTGTCTCTACCAAAAATACAAAAATTAGCCGGACAAGGTGGCACATGCCTGTAATCCCAGCTACTCAGGAAGCTGAGGCAGGAGAATTGCTTGAGTCTGGGAGATGGAGGTTGCAGTGAGCCGAGATCACACCACTGTACTCCAGTCTGGCCGACAGAGTGAGACTCTGTCTCAAAAACAAACAAAACAAAACAAAAAACCAAAAACAAACAAACAAAAAAACTAAGGAGGTGGTGGTGATGAATATGACACAAGAAGGCTGAGGGAAATAAATGGGTGTTGATTTTGCTCTTGTTTGGGCAAAGATTATAGATACTGACTTGAGTTTGGATACTGTTAGCAAAACATAACGTTGGCTTGGGCAAACACAGTGAGACCCTCATCTCTACAAAAAATTTAAAAAGTAATTGGCATCGTGGCATACTCCTGTAGTCTCAGCTGTTCTGGAGTCTGAGGCAGGAGGATTGCTTGAGCCCAGGAGTTTGAGGCTGCAGTGAGCTATAACAAGAAGAAAAAATTAAAAAAAAAAAAAAAAAAAAAAAGAAAAGAAAAGAAATAAAAGAAAAATACAAGTTTAAGTAGAAGTGTTACAAAGCTAAGACTAAACATTGGGAGAATAAATACAGTATGTAAATTTCAAACTTAGAAGAAAAATGAAAGCAGGTTTGAGCAAATCAAACAAAGCCAGAAAGGGAAAAACAAGAACAGCGAGAAAGCATGGAAGACACAAAATCTCTTGGCAGGTGTAAGTCCAAGTAACAATAATAACGTGTTAAATTTACTTATTAAAAGACAGAGACTCTAAGTTGGATAAAAAACCCAATATTCAGATATATGTGATTTGCACAAGAAACTCTTAAAACAAAATGACATAGGAATGTTGAAAATAAAGGGGTGACACTGAGCACGGTGGCTCACACCTGTAATCTCAGCACTTTGGGAGGCTGAGGCAGGCGGATCACGAGGTCAGGAGTTCGAGACCAGCCTGGCCAACATGGTGAAACCCCGTTTCTACTAAAAATACAAACAATTAGCCGTGTATGGTGGTGCACGCCTATAATCCCAGCCACTCAGGAGGCTGAGACAGGAGAATCTCTTGAACCCAGGAGGCTGAGGTTGCAGTGAGCGGAGATCACACTATTGCACTCCAGCCTGGGCAATGAAGAAAAAAGTTTTCTTTTTTGGGTCTTAAAAAAAAGAAGAAAACAAATGGGTGAAAACTAGAAACAAATATTAACAAATAAATCTAGAATAGCAATATTAACACCAAGCAGAATGGAATGTAGGGTGAAAAGCATTATAAAGGGCAAACTGAAACACTGTGTGTAGGTAAAAAGGAATAATCCATCAATTAATGATCATAGTTATGAACCATGTGTGCCAACAGCATAGAGATGGAGATATTAAAGCAAAACCAGATAGAAATACACGGAGAAATGCACGAAGCTGCAACCACACATAAAGTTAAAACAGAAATGAAAGGAAAAATAGACAAAGCCTTATTCTTCACTCATAAATTGGCACATTAAATAGATGAAAATAATTAAGAAAAAAGGTAATTTGAATTAAAATGCTTAATTTTGTAGTTTTGTGCCTAAGAGAGAATATAGTTTTCAAC